TTTGTCTTGCTAAAATTGATAAGGAAAAATATTACAAAGAAAATGGCCCAGGCAACCAAGTTTAGCCTGGCCTGCCTGGAGGCCAGGCCAAAATTTCAAAATCCAGCCTGGCCTGCTGCCTGCCAGGCCGGCAGCTCTGGTTAGTAATACTTATCTAATATTGATTTCAGCTCCTTAGCAGCAATGAAACCTACTAGGAGTTTCTATCTTGAGGGAGAGTATAGATGTTGGATGTGCTTAATTCTGCCTTTATCCATAGCTACAACCATATCTTCAGTCATGAACTATTGTGTCTCGGCAAAATCTTGACAAACATTTTTCTTCATTGTTTTTCTTTACGTTAGACTGCAGAAGAATTGATGATGCACTGGAAGAGTACGTTGTAGAAAATGATAACTTCTCTTTGGATATCGAAACAAATTCAGCATACATCAAAATTTTCTGCTACTATCGTTTGAAGAATAAACATTCAGGATTAGATGTAGCATTGGATGTTGTCAATGACGGTAATAACTATGTTCTCAAAATGGCTTCAGCCTTAATAATGATGAAATCAACAACAAAGCACACATAGCTACCAACAGGTGATTGCACTAGACAGCATTGGGTGTCGGTGTGAGGGTGAGTGTGAGTGTGGAAGAAGAGGAAACTCACATCCACGCTCTATCCACCTACATCCACATCCTTCCTATCTCACGATCCTTCACTAATTATCTGTTTTTAGCCATAATAAATAACACACAATCCTCTTACAACACAAACTGAAACGCTTCACAAATATGCTCGTATTGATGAGATGAGAGTGAGGGTGAGGGCAAAACTTTGACACTCGAACTATACAATTTAATAGTTGAATAGTTTAAAACTCATAACGAATTAATGATTTCTACACTACTGAGAAATCAACGATGACAATTGTACAACACGATTACTAGATCAATAGATGTCAGTGAATAATGCTCAATAGGTACAAAGTATTAACAACAGTCTCATTCTCTTAGTTACTTAAAATATGTATACATGTTTATTTGTAAAATGATAGCAAAAGCAACTTTAGAAGTAGCGAACTAAAGCAGAAAAATAGTTCATTGTGTAATGAATATGTAATCAAAATAGAAAGATGAATAAATATAGAAAATATTCGTAAGCGTAAACAGGTGACATGCCATTATTTATTAATGTAACTGATGTGGTAGTTGAGACGAACGAAGGGTGTGGATGGGTGTGGGTGTGGATGGGTGTGGTTGTGGATGGGTGTGGGTGTGGGTAGCAGTGTGCGTGGCGGTATTGGTGCAGGTGTGGATGCGGGCGCGATTGTGAGTGGGTGTTGGCAAATAGCAACACCCACACCCACACCCTCACCCACACCCACACCCTCACCCACACCCACACCCACACCTACACCCACACCCACACCCACACCCACACCCACACCCACACCCACACCCCACGCCCCACACCCACACCCACACCCACACCCACACCCAC